CGAAATAGATGCTGGTCATTCTCCTTTCTTCAGCAAGACTCAGTGGATGGCTGAAATACTCATGAGAGAAGCTAGCCGCTAAGTCTAGGTAGTTACCTAAAGTTGAGTCCAGATATCAGAAGTAGCTTTAGGAATCAAATTTGCTTTGTCAGGTGTTCTGCTTATGATCAATGAGGCCTCGGTGACATGTAATTGACTTTATTTGACATATACAAAAGCTCAGGTTGTCCGTGGTTACCCGTTCTGAGTACCGCTATAGTCTCTACAGACTTACACGAGTGGGAATGATATAGATCTTCACTCACCTGGATTCTACCAAGGGCTTATCCGCACCTCTGAGTTCGAGTGCGAACTTGACGTCGGGTCCAAAGTCGTTATTTGGTATTAGGAAGCTCGCTTTAGGTACGCGGCCGATCTAGAACCCTACCCATTCGCCCGATTAACCATGGATTGAATACCATTGCAACATAGTCGCCTATCACGAGGTTGTAATCTTTAAGATATTCGATCTTCTGGTCGAGTGCCCGAAGAGTGGGAGTGATGCGTCCACAGCGGTGCCGGCTTGAAGGACACAAGTAGAAAAAAGTACATAAGTCCCTTAATGCCTGACCTATCAGGATGGGACTTGGGCAGAAAGACAAAGAGGTTCTTGTATGTATACCCGGGGTCTCCCCCAGATAAGTTGTAGTCCCTCGCGGAATAACATAGTTCATACCCCTCTGTATGGTCCGCCTCGTGATAACTAGCTATAGGAACCGAATCGTGATTAAGATCGCTATGACCACTGCCGGTGTTCAGGCTGCCAAGATCCTGGAGGATGAAGGTATTAGGACTCTTGGTACCCTAGTCTTCTCAGTTCCTCAGGCCCTTGCTGCCGCTCAAGCTGGCATGTTTGCTATATCTCTGTGGTACAGCCGTGGGTTCTGTTTGGGTTTGTTCCCTTGTATTGAAACCAACTACTAATGGCGGTAGAGCCCAATGCCCATGTTGACCATAAGCTCCGGCATAACGTCCCTGATCCTGCTATACCCTACGTTAGCGAGACATTTACTTATAAGGCACGCCTATAACCTTTTAAATGAAATGACAGGCAAATATCAGCCCTAGATGGAAACCTGCTCGTAAGTGGAGGAGAATATAGAAATTCGCACATCCTAAACTGATAATTATATGTAACTTCGCATCCTTATGCAAGGTTATGGCGGCACCGGACCGTGGTGCAGACTATGTCACGATCAGTGTTACTCTACTCAAGGACCTCGCCTTATTCAGCCAAATACCTAAATTTCGGAATGGCTTCTGGAAAGTACCTATGTCGAAGCGGATCAATGACCCCGGATTTACCTGGGAGGACTGGACTGGGCCGGTGCTGAACGAGATGCCCGTCCGCATTGTCAAGGTCGTCGCCCAGACTGGTGAGCCTCAGCTTTACTCACTCGACGCTGATTACCTCGGGTATGAATTCCAGGACTAGTAAACTAGTACAGGTATTTAGTCCCTTAGTAAGTGCATTCAGTTGTTGCCCAAGTAGCACAGGTACCTACCTAGGAGGTAGGCAACAGCCGGGGGAATATTGATTTTCCATGCAACCAGTAGAGGGCATATAAGGTCAAATTAACTCTCGATCTATCACCCGGAGTTGGGTAGTCCCAGTGGAGGCTGCGGCCTGCGAAATTGGTGCCTCCCAATAACTTGACGGCTAGAAAATCCCAAAGGGGGTTTTCGTACGGACAGTTTAAGAAGTCACGCGCCCCGAGCTTTTTTACTTCTCTGAAGATCAACTGTTCGAAACCAGGATTTCCATTCCAATTTTTTTATACCTCCCCCTTTTCACCTTTTTACACCCCCTATTCTTCTACCCCTATTATACCCCCTTTCCATGAAGCTATTTTCAGATGCCTAATGGTATTGACCTTCTCATTTTTCGTCACTGATACTCCATCCTCCTGCTTTACTCACTTGACGCTGATTATCTCAGGGATGGTGCCGTCTACAAGAACAACAAATAGGACGAGATGACGTATCCCATACTCTAGGGCGGTCTCACGCGATTTGCTCTTTGGGAGAAGGAGTCTTAGGCATATCGAAGAGCTGCAAGCCAAATTTAGTTATTGTATACAGACATAACGTAGCCAGCTAAAATACTATGGAGTGCCAAGAGTACAAAATAGGCCTTTCCAACGTCTAAGGGGACTGTAGACCTGCATGTGGTGTCTGGTATAAGGCACGAAGAACTGGAAAAGTCTTGCGGTGTATGCTTAGATAGCATACGAACCAGACCCATTTCTACTTTTTACACACCTCCTCAAATTCAATAGTTTGAATTTGTCCTCAATAAATCATATGAAGTGCAAACACCGCGGCGGCTACCTCATATCATGCGTGTCTTCCAATCTAGTCGGTATCGTCAACCAGGCGCTCGCTGCAAAGCTGCCTGCATTATAAACATTCCCGTAAAGAGACAACGCCATTGAAATCCCCCCTAAAAACAATGGTTCCCAAACATGATGCCAACCACAATTGCTGCGTAGTTGTCCATAAACTATAGCTCACAATGCAGCAACAACACCCAACACACCGGCCAAAACACCAGCTCCGATACCCACGGGCGTCGCGGCCGCATTGGGCGACGACACGCTTAGTGACTCAGTCAAAGTGCCCCCGACGGTCACAGAGGGTCTCACCCCGCCTAGGGTCTCCGTCAATCCTCCAGTCGATGTGATGGTAGCGAAAGGGCTAGATGACACTGAGGGCACCGAAATTGTGCTGGCGGAGGATCCTGACCCGGTAGACGTTGCAGTGTCCGACACGGTTGACGTCGTTGAAGTCGAGGTCAAAGTTGGCATGTCGGGCGACGTGCTAGAAACTTGGCGCGCATTGAAGCTTGCGCTCTAAGCTTGCATTAGCTTGGACGGGATAATGGTGGATGAATGACTTACAGCACACCCTATCTGTGTCAGAGATATGGCTACAGTTGTCGCCAGCACTATAATTGACTTCATGATGTTTTAGTAGTAGTGCTTGTCCGTGAATTAATGTCAGTCAATGAATTTCACAACGATGGTGACGAAAGGCCTGTCTAGTATCGAGAGGAGTAGGTTGACGAACGGAAGAATGATGGGTGAGCTGGTATTATTTAGTGCAACAGGATCCCTTGTCGCAGTGACGATCTACGGCACACGGCATAGTTAGCTTAGAAAGGAACAGCTACCCTGATTGCTTGATCGCCATGATGATATTGACCATTCAGGAACAATGTTGCAGCTTTCATGTGTTACACAGTGCCGATCTTTAGTTGTAGCAGTTATACCGATCTACACGCATTGCGGGGGTTAGGAAGTTACCTGGTTTAGAGACCAACGAGTGCGGTCCCCTACGTACATTCTAAGCTCTTTCCAGGGTCACAGTGCATGACGTATGTCCCGAGTACGCCGTCTCGCACTATGCTAGGTTAAAAGGGTGAATCATAACGATTCCCAAGCTAAAAGACGGTGGAGATTCAGGTGAGACCCTTGTCTAAATTCCGTCACATTCCAACAAGGATTGAGATCAAATATCTTCATCTGTTTAATAATGTACAACAATTCACCAGCGCATCGCCTATCAAATCCATTAAGCTCCAACAACAGCAATTCGATAACGAGGCCAAGACAATTCGATTAGTAACTAATGTGTTTCTTCCTCTCCCCCTTTTATACGCTTCTCTAATTTATGTAAGTAGTATACCTCGGTACATATATGTAGGTAAGAAATGTGAGCTTTTCCTTAGGCAGAACAATCGCCATCTAGGCAAGTACCTGACCTAGCGTCCTGATGCCCGTCCGCGATGTATTACATGCGCTATCGCGTTTGATCCATCCCTACTCCGTAAGGTCCACTCATAGAACAAACACACGACTAACTACCTACCCCTAGCCACCTAGACTCATGTAAAATTTGAGTAATAGGTAACAATAAGTCGGCTTCCGTACAATAGCGTGCTGTACCCAAGTACACATGTGCGATTAGGCATCAGTGGTTTAGTGGTAAAATCCATCGTTGCCATCGATGGGCCCCGCGTTCGATTCGCGGCTGATGCATTCCTTTTGCCATTTTCTTTTGCCTCTATTAAAGCCCATCAGCTTGTTGTTTGTGTTCAGTGAGGGCTTTCGACCCTACCACGAAAACTTCCCCTTTCGGCGCTTGGTACTCGTTTTGTGGCCTGCTATTGGTCAACGCGGCGCTGAAGTGCCCTAAAACACTCACCAGCTACTCTTAGTATGAGGAACCAACAACAATATAGTCGAAATTTGAATAATTATTGCTATCTAGTATCTACGAGGTTTCATTTGAGCTAGTTTACAGTACTAGCCTCATGAATGATACTCCGTCTACCATTTAGATGGCCGTAGAAGTGAACTCCAGCAGCAGGTACAGAGCTTGGCGCCCGGTAGTTCAGCCTCTAAGCAGCATCATGGAACTACTAAGTGCGCAGGCGGTTCGGGCAAAAGTGCGCACCAGTAACTAAATTTTAATAGAAATTATATCCTCTCCCGCTGTGATGCATTTAGCCCTTTGAGTCTCTACTATGGTAGGAGGCAAAAGTTTTAAGACACTGTCATGTCACTCATAAGGCTGGCACAGACCTTACTTTCTCCGGGAGCGAAGAAATCGTAGCAATCCACCTTGTTAAGTATCTTTTTAGCGTCGATTTTACCCCTGCGATAGCTAAGATGACGGTACGGTATATGACAATGTTTTAAGACTTACCCCTAACACCATAGTAATAACAATTGTACTTTATGCTTACCATGTAGGTACCTATCATAGGACGTAAGTATGATGCCTAGACGCTATAGAACTAGCCCATTCTCAAAATACCCGCGTAATATGCATATCACAAGAAATAGACATTTAAAGTTGTAATTCTCGCGCGGGTGATATGTTTATACCAATAAAAATATAAAATATCCTCATGATAAGCCCTCAAATGCTTAGCAAAAAGGAAATTCAAGGACTTATGTCCTCGGTGAGACTCGAACTCACGACCTTTGGATATCCCAACCCTGGAGGGTCAGGTCATATTTCTATGAGACCAACGCTCTAACCAACTGAGCTACAAAGACGATTGAGATGATCAGTCTTATTGAAGCTTATTAGGTAACCTATCGTGAAATCGAATTGAATCGGGCCTTTGAGAAACGACTGTTTGCCATCGATAAGGATAGGGAGCGGAGTATGTGGGCTCTAGCCTATCCACTCGAGCAAACAGGACGAGGGACAATGGTTAGATCAGAGACCTTGTAAACGATTCATGATATCTGAGCGAATTGATAATCGCATATATGAGTGTGTTTTCACATGAAGGCAAAGTCGTGCCAGTGAAGTGTTGAAAGCAGATCCTTGCAAGCTCTTATCATCTTCATCATCCATGTGTATTCATCGTTGTCCAAAAGATGAAGTTTAATGAGACATCTTAGAAAATGCGGACTATAATTTGCATGCTTTGATCGAGGATTTTATTGGGAGTTGATGGTGTAAGTTTAGACACCTAAGCTAGCAGTCCCTACCACCTAGAAAGTAATCTGAGGCTGTCTATTCTCATGGATTTTCACCAAGTGAATTCTGCCGGAGCTCAACAATTTGCTGTAAGCTTGGTTGTTAGGAGTTGGAGACAGATCCGTCATCTATCGTTTAGATAATACGCCACTCTAAGAAACACAGGCTTTAAAATAGAAACCTCCAACTTTCCTGGGCATACAGTGCCAAGAATTCGATTTTTCAGGTCGGAGAAACCGATGGCACACACACGATGTCTATGAGCTTCCAGGCGCTGCCACATTTCTTTAGTTGTGCTGGTACACGCGTACTGCAAACGAGGCGACGAGCCGTTAATGAACATGCAATTACACCTTTTCTACACAATGAAGCGGCCAACCCGATATAGAGATCCTAGCCTTCTACCAGCCCATACCGAAAAGTAAGCAGAAAATATGAGCTGAGGTGTAGCTGAAATGGGGGCCTTAAGCCATGAGGAAAATGTGTGCCATCATGGGCGCCCATTCCCAGCTTGACTAGGACTCTGAAATGTTTGTAAACAGTTCGGGCGAAAGACCGGAGATTATTCTGTGTTGCGTGTCGTTGTTGGGAATTACGCATAATTATGCTGAATTAAAAGGGGAATGAGGGAAAGGGGGGAGGCTAGGGTATAAACGACTCGGGATGCTGCCCAACTGCAACCATCCGCCGGTCGGACAACCCTATCTCCTAGCAAGGCACGATCTCGTTCCTTGTGATTCGGCCATGGCTAGTGCATGGTCGCCGACTACAAGCCGCCACTCGCTTTCCATGCCAAAAGACCCGTCCACCTCATGAAAGCTTCTTAACAAAAAATGTTATAGGCTGTGTTCAGCTGGAGGTTACATTCATAGACCCTTACCCCGGTGATAAGAGTTTTTCATAGATTAGCAGAGCCTCATGGTCTGATTTATTGATTTATTATCTGTTGAACTGGCAGTGCATGAGATGGTTGCATCCGTTTACACTCTTAGCTAGTTCAGCTTTCAGCTATTTCTAGAAAGGGTCTAAAATGCGCTCCTATAGTAAGGGTATGACCAGGATTCAAGCCAATCATCTTAAAGGAACTTCAATAGAATTGTGGACGTGAAGCTGAACTTTTTGCACTTTCGCAATCCCTCGATTTGTCATTTCTGGCCCCCAAGTGACATTGTAGGACCAACCAACCATGGTATATCACGCGGGTTATAGGCCGCTCCATAAGTTCAATCGAGTCTGCCTAGGTAAGATATAGAGATAGATATGATCGCCCTGCGGAATAAGAATGGCCTTGGGCCGCCCCCAAGTCCAAGGACAGCATCATTTCTTAGATCAACTTTCCGTCTCGTTGTTTAGGAAGAAACAGAGCCCAACGCGTTTGGGTGCAAACCGCCATGGACCAACACTACTCCAAAGAACGATCCACGGTCGAGGAGACTTCGCCTTCGCCTCCGCCTTCCGAAGGCAGAGGCTTCACCCACCTTCGGCAGGTTATCAGTCTCTTTTTCAAGTTCCTCGGACGATGGCTTCTCACTGCGGCGATCTGCGCTGCTTTCGCCGTAGTTCTGAAGGAATACGATAAAAGGGTATACATCCAAGACGACGATACACATGTTTACAATGCTATCACGGCCGGCTTGACTATCTGCTTGTCACTCAACATTGATTCTAGCTTGAACGCTTTAGCGAACACGTTCAAATGGGTGATAATAGCTTACCAACCTTTCCCGCCCCGTATCGTCAGCCTCATCCTTGGATTCGATAGCTCGAAATTGAACGTGATCAGGCTACTCTTCTGGCCCAAGAGTGTTGCTTGGTGGTTACGTCTGATCTGCTTCGTCTGGCTTCTCATTGCCATCGCGGCGCAGGTCGGCACAGCTTTGATCGGTCTCACCTATTCGGTGGTTCCGTTGCTACCGGACTCGGGGGACTTCCCCAGGCTCTTCGGCGACGGAAGCACAGCGATATTCACGCAGATTGGCGCATTCTCGGTTGATCGCATGCAGTTCCCAACAGAACCTGAACCGAGTCTCTACAACCTGACGGTGCAACGTTCCAACGCGTTTGCATACGGTGTCGGTGCCATCAACTCCCCAGTCTATGACATAAACGGACCTTGGGCTTACTCGTTCCACTCGGCGACATTCGACTTCAACGCGAGGACCTTCACGAACCCTATCGCAAACTACCCGACTTGGACTAAAAATATACAATGGAACGCGATCGGGCGTTACGTTCTTAACTGGGCCTCGTGTGCGGATGTGACGATCAACGATCTAACCTACTATACGGATACGACCACTATCAACTTCATCGGATACAATGGGACTCAAGAGTTTGACATATCTCAAAGCCCGCTCGATTATATGACTTATATCTCGGATACCTCTTTCGCCTGCGGCCCGCGGTGTACGCAGGTCTACGCTATAGTCACGGGTTCGTCGACAACAAATATGTTCGTATGCAACAGCACTGTCGGCGAAATGTATGACGTGGGCACCGAAGCTCTAGTCACTCAAGAGAACCTCACAATGCCAGACACTCAAGCTCGAATTCTAGGTGGCGCTATTGGCTGGGGAGATATCGATGTTAACGGTACTGTTGGTAATCGAAACATGCCCGGCCGGTTCCTGGCCTCCAGCTTCCCATATGGATCTTATTGGACGTCGCCCGCGATACCTAATGCCGAGGGCGTCAGCGATGAGTTAGTCGCCCACTTCACCGCGGCCACGATCGAGGTGATTAACCAATACGGCGTTGGCTCCAACTTCACAAATCTAAACATCCCGGGCGTAGCGTCCGAACTAGACGTGAAATGGATGTACAGCGTCCTCATCCTGGCACTGATACCTGGCCTTCAAGCCCTCCTGGCTGTGATCTGCATGGCTATCGTGTACCGACATCAGGTGCCTGTCCATGACGACTCACCATTCGCATCAGCAACACTTCTCGGTCCCATCGTGTCGCATATCCCGAGAGGCGTCGTCCAAAGCGAGAGCCAGATCGCGAAAAGTATGAGGGATTCCCTCGTGTACATGCCGGCAGGCGATGGACATGGTAGCGAAGTCAAATTAGAAAATCCAGGAGTGTGGAATCTGGAGAAGGCTTTCCGACATGGCCAATATCATTAGGAATGGTCATAAAGTCTCTAACAGACCAGGGCATACCAATAAAGAAGAATGACGACAGCGGCCCATCTAGAGATTATGTCCCTAGGTAATTAATGTGTCGGTTAGGGGCTGTTAGAAATCCATAATACACTTTTTATCGTTGGCGCAAGTTGTGGTGGGACGGACGGTCACCTATTTTGTCAAGGAGGGACCTTTACGGATAGACAACGAGAATGATATTTTTAGAGGATTATTCATTGCGGTTATTTGGTTATTGTGGCACAAGGGAATATATTCTACGGCCCATCGGGAATCTGATCTAGGAGAAATGAACAGTCCCATTTCTCCTTCCCCCGTAATCTGCGCCTCATACTGTTTAGATTCTTGCCTAGGTAATTACACATCTTGCATAGCATAAGTTGTCCTCGGTCAACAGAGTTTTAACTTTCAGTCCCTAAAGAGACAATTATCTTTACTCTAACTAGCACTATAGTGAAGCGGAGAAAGGCCATCTTCATATTAAATGTCTTGCCGCCTCCATACGGTATCCTAACTACATCAACAACGTCACTCTAGTTTATCTCAGCCGATACCCTTAACAGCCATCATAGTATGATTTCGTAACCATCATGACCAACATTGTTATGTTATCATTCCGCCTTGTTGTAGGCAAGGTTAGCTGATTCCACAAAACTTTTAGAGTCTCTTTCATTCTTCTCCTTTTTTAACACCCTGCAACCCAACCTGAACAAGCCTTTTACTACTTGTTCCTTGGTCAGCTATTATGGAAAACTTGAATAAAGGATGTGAATTCGCTAGCAGCAACATCCAATGCAAGCATTATCAACGAAATGAATATTAAGCTTCATTTCTACATCAATCCCGGCCAGGCTCCATACTTGAGACCAGCCTATCCTTAATTTCCTAAGGGTATATGTGGTATCGACACATCTTTAAAATATGTATCTAAACTCAGGGTTCTCCCTGTCCGTCAGGTCCTCGAATGCATGAGAAAGATTCGGGTTGCCTGTCTGGACAGCATCCTTCTTAGCATTCTCGCGTTTCAAGTGCCAGCGCAGGGCACAGATGACGATGACTAGCATGGTATAACACCCGAGATGGGTGGCGAAGGCGATGGAATATCGAGGCGCATCCCACGAGAGGAAAACTTGAGGTCCTATAAACTCACCATTAGCAAGAGCGGTTGGGAAACATGAGGGCCAACATGTGACAAACCAATAGCGGCGGCCGTGGCCCAAGAGATGAAATTTGCCGCGACAAGTACTGACTTCTTGGTCATACCCGTGACGTTACGACTGATCATCGAAAGCGCCAAGGTCTGCGCCGACCATGATGAAAGCGCAATATAATAGCTGATCAGGAGCCCAATTCGGGTTGCCGGGTTCGTGTTCTTAACGGTCATCATGACGATGGTGCCAATGAAAGACCTAACCTTGTGT